CTTTCGAAATGCCACCTTGGCGATCGATCCTCTCTAGTCACAGCACTGACGTCAGCAAACGTCTAATCGTTCTTTCCTCAGGTCTTGTCGCATTGACGTCAGCCAAGGGTACGCGGAATTCGCTCGTGCAAGAACGACTGACGTGTTCGTTTCCTTTCTGGCCCAGCAGCGACGTCACGTCCGCCATGTCGTATGCCAACGGCGGTGGGAGCCGGGCCGGTGTTCGGCTGTGCGGCGCGATTGATTGAAGCCCTGGAGCACATGCTCAATGGATGTGGGAGACGTACGTGAGCTCAGATTAAGCTGCAGGGCAGAACGTCAGATGATATCGTCAGCAGAAGCCCGATTGCGCAACACCAGTAACAACCGGTGCTGGACAACCGGTGCTGGACAACCGGTGCGAACCGTCACCTGCGTCCGCCGTTCCGAACCTCTTGCATGGATTTAAATTATTACCCGAAACAAGGCAAGGAGGCGAATTCCAGATGAATTGCAGAAGCGTCCATCCACCGCATCCCTGAAACTGACCATCAGGTATGGCTGGAAAAGCAATAACTGATCGATCATTACAAGGCATAAATTCCTTCATCATAACCAGATCATCCTTCAAAATATGATTAGTTGCTGTTTTCTCGATGACTCAAAAATCGTTTCGTATTTGCGTGGTCATACGACTTGTAACAGTCGCACAAAGTGAACATTTTATGAAAGACTCTCAACGATACTTAAATTTGAATGTTTGGAAAGTCTTATTTTACTGTGTTTCTTCAGCATCCTAAAGCCAAACGAATCTTCGAACTGTTGGGCGTACCGTTCCGCGTAATTTCTCGATGCGTGTCGTTCTGATTTGTTGAGGTCACTCAGCTGTTTGTTCCTTTTTCCACTGAGTAGTTTAAGAGCATGATAACAAGACATTTCAGCAAACCTGTTCCTCCATATTGGTCAAGTTTACTGCTTTAAGAGAACTTGCAGAAATTCCATTTTTCAGCAGTAAAAAAATTTCGCAAAATATTAAAGCCTCCCGGCTACACTATTAAACACTTTATATATGTTTCTTGATGCAAAGAACCTTGTGATTTAGAAAGCAGAAATTCATCTATGCCAAGTGATTATGTGAAATCCACAGAACAACAAGCGTGGTATCGATCTCTGTTTTAGAAGATGAATATGTTCCTATCTGGCAAATCGCTGTTGTGCTTAAAGCGGAATTTATTCGATCAGCATGCGCTCCTAGTGCTAGCCTATGGGTGCGAATCGTAAACTTTAAGCCTGAAAGCTTGAAGGTTCATAAGCTACAGACTGCGCAACGCAGCATGGAAAGATGCCTAGAGTAGCCGGAAATATCGCGGCCATCAGCGCAATCTTATGGGGTTCCAGAGAGGCCTCTGTTTTGCATGTCGAGATTGAGTATTTCAATGTTCTGGGTGATGGACTGTCGCAATGCGCAGTCCTACTGTCGTTGCTACTAACGTAGGAGATCTTCAAGCCGCCTAAGCCTGGTCATTTCCTCCCAACTCAACGTCTCAAGTGTTACATTAAGAAGTGTAGAACGAATTAATAGAGCAAAGATTTCTAATGGACTGGAGATTTTCGTTCAATCTCGCCACGACAGTTACCGGCCGTTGTTGTCGATGGCCCCGTGTCAGCAGAAGAAGAAGTACTGTAGAGTCGTTTGTCTCTATGCACATAACAGAGCGATGCCAATCGCTCGTCCGTGAGCACTCTCGACATGTCTGAAAGGCTCGGCTGACGAACGAGAAGAAGCTGGTCAATGGCACGGATGTATCACCTGACCATCAGTGTAGGTGTTAAACATACTGCTAAACTGTTTTCGGTTGCGGCGTTCGTGTGTATTATACGAACAGCCGTTTCTAGTCCGTGAAATAGAATATGCCTGACAGCAGAGTAATTAAGATGACCGTTTTCCCTTTCTAGTTCAGGTTATTCTGAGACTTTTGAAACTGTAAGAAACCAGTGCAAAGAATATTAAAATCTTCAGCGTGTAAACAAGTGGATTGCGTGGACTTCTGACAGATGCGAGATTATGCAAAAACTCTGAACTGGAAAGGGAATACCATTCACCATAGAGATCGATTTTTGTGTGCCTCTATTGAGACCGGATTTGCGATAGGATAGCAACACGCGCTATCAATAGAGATCGCGACATTCAATCATTCGAGGCATCTTTTGGTTGCTGGTGATATTCTACGGCGCTGCTTTTATGATCACATCGTTATACCGACATTTTCACTGCTCCTTCCAAATTCTCCTCATTTTTTTCGAGGTTTTTTTGCTGAAGGCGCCTGCTTTCGCAGGAGTTGAGATTCCTGCACCATTTAACGAGTTTTCAAGTATGAAAATAACTGGGCAAACGTTGCAAAAATACCCCTCATCCAGACGAGAATAAACCTGGCAATATTGCATAGATTATTAGAATATTGTAAAAATAATATACATGCAAATCGGGATAACGACTGGAAGTCAAAAATATAGAAGCAGAAAATGGTCCGTAAGAATGCAATCTAAGCTTAGTAATGCAGTTTCATCTCAGATGCTAGCATCATCTAGAGGATCCTTAGATTGCAGTAGTTCTGCGGATAAGCTTGCACGAAGGATATGCAATGGACCATCATGTAGCCTTCGCAGGACAGACAGT